AATCATAGCTGCATGACCTGTGTATGTGTATAAACTTAAAACTGATGTTGTACGTAAATTTATGTACATTTTTGATTAGTTATATTTCTGTAGATAATGGCAAAATGACGGACATTTTTAACAAATGGCATCGTTTCTAAACTGTGTGTTTAACACCATGCATGTTACTTACAAAAAGCTTTCTATTTGTAACACTAACAATATTAACAGCAGTCATTATCTTGTATATAAATATATAAGAGCTTAACAGTGTATATCTTGTCTGTTTATGTTTATTGTTTATTAATGAATAAAAAAAACATTTCAGATTAGGTTATGCTTGAAGACAATGAGCCAGACCTGTCTTAGCAAAGAAATAGTCAGCTCAACAGCCTCTGCACCTGCATGCATGGTAAATTTGTATAAGCAAAGATGACAAGGTAAATTGATAACTTAAAATAGTTCCTAGTTTTTTACAATATCTTCCTAGTTTTTTGTGCTGTTGCTTCTTAGTTTTCTCCTAGTTTTTTATAATGTACTGCTGGAGAGCCTGTATGTAGTGTTCAGTGATCCCCAAAATATACATGGTAGCATCTCAAGATATTTCCCATAATGCAACCCACTGGTGTACATTCATATGTAAATTCTTTAAAAATTTCCATTTTTTAAAAATAATCACAAAATACATAACCATTTCACGTTGAAAACATTATATTGTAAGACGAACTAGAACAAAAACTTTGGTGTTTAATAGTTTCATATACAAAAATCCTTTCATATAAATACTACTAAATTTTGCAAAAAGTAATTTAAACATCTCATGTACTAATAAACCAAGTAAACAAATCGTAACTATTCACAAACTTTCAAAGCCCTGTTTAAACTATAAACATTTTACTGATGGTTATAAAATAACCTATCTCTCTGACGATACTACTTTAGAATGACACTTGTTGAAGAAAACAAAAGTTAAAGAGTACGCAGTAAAACCAATGAGGCTGAAGGATCAAAGGAACAAGTTATAAGTAGATGAATTCTCTGAGTTAAATCAGCATGTAGATTTGGTTTTGAACATGTGTTTCTTTAGTAAGGTATGTATATATAAATCTTAGCCTTTGAGAAAATATTTCATTCCTTATGATGAAAAAGTAACATGTTAAGACGTAGAGTGTACGAGACTGCCAACAATCTCAAGTCTTTATCCCTATACAATACAAGATTCCAGTGATTCTCAACTTATTGTCTTGCTCAAGACACTCCTATACATAGTCTACAATTTACAAAAACCCCTAACATTAACAGTGTTGTGTCCAAAGGGAGGAGGTCATAGAGATACCCCCCTCCCCTCAAATAGATCTCGGATGAAATGATATACAAAAGAACAGAAATCAGATACAGTACATACAAAAACTTTCCAAACTTGTGGTGTAGCAATTTACTTGTTTGTTGTTGTTTTTTTACAATATTTTGGTAAAATCTTGCATCTCGCAGCATCCTGACTGAAAAAATACTGGATTATTGAGTGCATGTTTTATTGTATTTTGAGACTGAGACAATCTCATTAATTTCTTTCATTGTGTATTATTAAACTCTGGTTTCCTTCAACAACTGTGGTGTCCTCTGGTGTTAGATACTACATTGATATAATGGACATATTGAAGATAAATTTGTCTTAATAACCAATAATAATATAGTTCATTTATGAAATCTTGGTAAATCTTGGTAAAATGATTTGAATAAGCTGTAACAAAACAACAACATAATTGATGATAAACAAGAGAGAATCCTCAATAGACGTGGCGCTTTTAGGCTGGATTAGAGTGAATTAATCTATGAGACCTTTGTTTCCCTTTTTTATTAGCTATATTGTGCCAGCAATACCAAGTGTGGGACTGATGTATACTTGATTTGATTTTATTACTCAACAGGATCTCTACCAGCCTACCCTCAAATTGAAATAGTTTTTAGGCAGGATTACAGTAAATTAATCTACGATTCCTTGGGCGTGGTCAAACACATCAACTGAAAGGGTTTGACCTCCTGAGTCCAAAACTATAATGAGATCTCAAATCAGTCAAGAGATGACGGAGCTATGACCTAAAAGTTTGTACTTGAAAAAAAAACAAAAAACACAGAGCCATTCTATGAGCTCCTCAGCTGCGGCTAAAAATACGAGTGCAGTATGTTTCTCAATCAAAGAAATACGTGGAATATCAAAAACCTTACTCAATTAAAACAATGATATTAACCAAACAGCACACTTAGGACATTATTACAAAATACTTCATCTCAAACAAGAAGATAACCCACAGCTAAATTCTTACCTTTACCAAAGATAACCCACAGCTAAATTCTTACCTTTACCAAAGATAACCCACAGCTAAGTTCTTACCTTTACCAAAGATAACCCACAGCTAAATTCTTACCTTTACCAAAGATAATCCACAGCTAAATTCTTACTTTTACCAAAGATAACCCACAGCTAAATTCTTACCTTTACCAAAGATAACACACAGCTAAATTCTTACCTTTACCAAAGATAACCCACAGCTAAATTCTTACCTTTATCAAAGATTACCCACAGCTAAATTCTTGCCTTTACCAAAGATAACCCACAGCTAAATTCTTACCTTTACCAAAGATTACCCACTGCTAAATTCTTCCCTTTACTACAGGATACCCATAGCTAAGCTTTTACCTAGAGACTATATATATATATATATATAAATTTAAAATTCTTACCATTATCAAAGACTACACAAGCTAAACTCTTACTTACCTTTACTAGAGACCACACAATGTAATATTCTTACCATTACCAGATACTACACAAACTCAATTCTTACCTTTACCAGAGTCAGAGTTTCGAATGACAATTTCATCTTTGAAGTAGTTTTTTCCAGGGATTCTGAAATAAATTTAAATTCACATACCATGAATACTATTCAGGTCTTAACGAGCTTTGTGTTTTATTAGTATGGTGACCATTGTAATTAAAGGTTTTTAGTTTTTATTTCATTGAATATTTACATCAAGAACTACCTAATAGGTCAATTTTCAAATTACTACATGTACAAAGTTATGCAGTATGTGTGCTTATTACATTATGTGTATCGTATAATGTACTTATTACAAACAGAATATACAGTACAAGTTCTTTAAAACATAAAAATTAATAGAGAGTTCAAAAGAAATGAAGTTAAAATGCCTAAACATGTACTACTCTTCTTGACCTTCCTTGTATTATAATTCTATAAATATACTCCAAAAGGTTAGTTTCAAGATGAGTTGCATTTTCAAACTAACTTGGTAGGTTTTGCAAACTTTCCTGAGGACTTGAGTACCTCTCCTGGTGTTAGAGAAAGTTGGGATTGGTTTGTAGAAGAGACAGATAATGAGTTCTGTCCAGGCAAGTAACCAGGTGGTGCTGTAGTGACCGACTGACTAGTGGTGAGAGAAGGTATGACTGATCCAGTACTTTGCTGATCAAGACCCTTATTTACGAAAATAAAAAAAATTAAAGTGAGTACTACAGATACTTTTTTTATTTATTTATTGTTAAGTATGTTTTGATAAAAATAGCTAAAATATAAAAATTACAAATATTTCAGTTTAGCCTAACTAAATTTCCACAAAATCAATGTCTAAAATTCAATTACATTGAACTGTGTAATGTGACACCTCACAATCATGATGTTTAACCCTTTCTCATCCGTGGAAGGGTTTTTACCATTTCCATAGTTGGCGTAAATGTATGGGTGGAGAAGATGTTTAGCATGCGTAAGTATATGGGTGGGCATGATAAAGGGTTAAGTTAACTCTACGGGAAACAGCTAATGGGCTCCTGCTGTGATTTATTGCTTTTGATGCTGGATTACTGCCATAAAATCAAAAGAAAGTAGATACTAAAATAGTTGAAACTGTTAAGATCAGTAAGTTGAAGCTTTCTGATCAATACTGGAGTCAGTACAGAGGAAAAAATGGTGTTATTCGTATCATTTCCTATTTTTCAACTTTTCATCTACTTAAGTGCCACTTCATCTCTTTAACAATGAACAAAGACAATAGACAGGGTAATATGTGGGTACCACTTCATCTCCTTAACACTGAACAAAGACAAAAGACATGGTAATATGTGGATATCACTTCATCTCCTTAACACTGAACAAAGACAATAGACATGGTAATATGTGGATACCACTTCATCTCCTTAACACTGAACAAAGACAATAGACAGGGTAATATGTGGGTACCACTTCATCTCCTTAACACTGAACAAAGACAAAAGACCGGGTAATGTGTGGGTTCCACTTCATCTATACTGAAAATATACATCCCAGCCACAGTGAAAGGTTTAACCATAGATACCAACTCTATTTGATGTAAAATAGAAACTCCAGCCTAAAACAAAACAAACATTTGAATATAAAATTATGAATGGTTTAATTTCTACAGACATTTTCCTGCCATAAGTGATGTAGAAACCCACAGAGTAAAGGATATAAAATGCAGGGTTTCCACTGATTTTGAATTGGTTTAATGCACAGCCAATCAACAGTATATTCAGGCTTAACTCACTGCAACACTCATGCCAGATATGTAACTTTTGGGGTGTTGGGGGTTTTCAACCATAACAATTACAAATGGTGTCCTGATATGGAACTCTTTCCAAGGTCTTATCTGTATTCACTTGTTTTGTGTTAAGGAAATGAAGTGGTGTTTAGGTATTGTCTTATCTGTATTCACTTGTTTTGTAGACAGAGATGCCAACCATTGTGATCCAGGTTACAGTTAAAACCTTTAAATTATAGATCTGGACAATTTGTTATGGGGTATAATGCCAAAATGTCTGTGTTGATATTGTATTCACTTAAGCACTTGTACCTCGACAGTTATACTCAAACCAGAATAGAATATCAAGCATCATACTTCTAGATAGCTCATTAAGTATTTAGAACTGCTATATTAGTTTAGTCTCAAAGATGCTGAAACAAAGCCATCTAGCCAAGAATATGTATCCAAAAGAACATGAAGGAAAGGATGTCATCCTCATGGCAAAAGAAAAGAAATAGTAAAAAAAAACAAAAAAAACAAGTCCCAAACAACATTGCTACTTAAATACTACCCATCAAATATAGGTGAAAATAAGAAGGAAAAATCAACCACAATTACTATATAAAAAGAAAATGCATAATACCTAAACACCACTTCATTTCCTTAACACAAAACAAATGAATACAGATAAGACAATACCTAAACACCACTTCATTTCCTTAACACAAAACAAATGAATACAGATAAGACAATACCTAAACACCACTTCATTTCCTTAACACAAAACAAGTGAATACAGATAAGACAATACCTAACCACCACTCCATTTCCTTAACACAAAACAAGTGAACAAGGATAAGACAATACCTAAACACCACACCATTTCCTTAACACAAAACAAGTGAACAAGGATAAGACAAAAACTAAGCACCACTTCATTTGAGCACAAAAGACGAGATTACTGAATACCATTATTTCAAGACAAAAAAATAGATTGAATTAAGTAACAACTACACAACATTATCACCTCACAGTTTAAAACCAAAATAAAATAACATTATATTACCTCAACATGGATGATCTTCTGTTTATAGTAATTGTTCAGATTGTCGTTCGTCTTCCACATCATAGCCCTCAACTCTATAACTTCAAGTAATCGCACGCGACAAAGCTCGTTTAAACGCTCCTCCCTTGATGCATTCCTTAGTGTCACAAAATAACGGTCTAACTGTTCTGAAACAGATTACAAACTTCTGCTTTTAGCCAGCCTATTTCATACTACATAACGACTCTGTGATAACTGATCTAATCATTTGTAAGGCAAATAAACTGCCACAGACAAAGTGCTTACAGAAGGAAGAATCAGATATCTATGGTATGAACAATGAGCTTAACCACTGTTTATTATGTCTTTAAAGTTAATATATAAATAATAACTACTATGCTATCTACTATAAACCTTACATGTGCGAACTGAGTTTTTGAACCAATAAATATACATTTTGAAACTGGATATATAGGCTTAAATAGATTATCTAAACTCAGCTTTTTATTAATATTCTTTGGAATGTTTTATTAACTGAAACACTGAATAAGGAAAATGGCCTGAAATTTATGTATTCCTATTGGTTATTACCTTTATAGTTTGTTTCTAGTTGCGAACCTTTGCTCTTCAGTTGGCTACAAACTTTGATGATTTTTGATAATGTTGTATCATCAAGGTTGCCGTTGTTTATTGATATGTGTAATGATTCCAGGTCCTGGATTACATCTTCGACTGAAAGAACCCCAAAAATTAAACATTCTACGGCTTAATCACAATTTATTATTCAATATTTCTGAAATAAATTAAAATATATTTGAAAATCAGGTAACATATAAAACATGTATCATTGTGTGGACGGTAACTTCTCTTCACATTTATAATCCAATAATGAATCATACTTAATTATACGTATATAAGCCTATAAACATGACAGTGACAAATAGCTAAAAAATATTAACATTCACAATATCAAAAGCCTACCATTCGAATTAAGCACAGGATAAGGGCCAACATATATTTCATTGTTAGTTCAGATTGCTGCGATTATCCCAAACAAACCCAAATTGCATATACATTGGTCTGTGAATATGCACTCTTGTTGTGGTTGTCTATGACTTTCAGCTTTGTTACATGTATGGTGTTTTTAGCTGTCTATCACTTACAGCTTCGTTACATGTATGGTGTTTTTAGCTGTCTATCACTTTCAGTTTGTTACATGTATGGTGTTTTTAGCTGTCTATCACTTTCAGCTTTGTTACATGTATGGTGTTTTTAGCTGTCTATCACTTTCATCTTTGTTACATGTATGGTGTTTTTAGATGTCTATCACTTTCAGCTTTGTTACATGTATGGTGTTTTTAGCTGTCTATCACTTTCAGCTTTGTTACATGTATGGTGTTTTTAGCTGTCTATCACTTTCAGGTTTGTTACTTGTATTGTGTTTTGAGCTGTCTATGACTTACAGGTTTGTTACATGTATGGTGTTTTTAGCTGTCTATCATTTTCAGGTTTGTTACATGTATGGTGTCTTTAGATGTCTATCATTTTCAGGTTTGTTACATGTATGGTGTCTTTAGCTGTCTATCATTTTCAGGTTTGTAACATGTATGGTGTTTTTAGCTGTCTATGACTTTAAGGTTTGTTACATGTATGGTGTTTTTAGCTGTCTATCACTTTCAGGTTTATTACGTGTATGGTGTTTTTAGCTGTCTATCACTTTCAGGTTTGTTACATGTATGGTGTTTTTAGCTGTCTGTCACTCTTAGCTTTGTTACATGTATGGTGTTTTTAGCTGTCTATCATTTTCAGGTTTGTTACATGTATGGTGTTTTTAGCTGTCTATGACTTACAGGTTTGTTACATATATGGAGTTTTTAAATGTCTATCACTTACAGGTTTGTTACATGTATGGTGTTTTTAGCTGTATCACTTTCAGGTTTGTTACATGTATGGTGTTTTTAGCTGTCTATGACTTACAGGTTTGTTACATGTATGGTGTTTTTAGCTGTCTTTACTCATTACAGTAAACCTACATTTGAATAAGATTTGAAAAATTAATACTAGTTAGATTTACTTGGAACTGGTTTCTTTCATCACAATCTTGGTCACCTCTCAACACCTTAGAGCAGTCTCCTCAAGAAGAAACTAAAGGTCCCTCCAGCTTTTTCTCTGGCTCTCTCTGTTTATTACTAACAACTAAAACCAAGACTCTGCATGTAACTAACAACCTCTCCAAGATCTTGCAAAGACCCATAATTTTATTATTAGCCTCACCCTTTACCACATGTGGGGTGAAGAGAAACAGAAATTTCTGACTGCTCCCAGTCATTTTTCAGGCCCCACAGTCTTTGAGGGTGTGAAAGATTTTTAAACCTAAATACTGGTCAAGATTGGATTGGATGTAGTACTGATGTTATTAACTTATTTTTCTAAATTATTTAGCAATTCAGCAGATAAACATTTTAAGGAACTAGAAATAACTATGGAGCCTAATCTATCGCTCGATTCACCACTGGTCACAGAGTTATACTGATTTGGGGGAATTCCAAAAACCTATATTTCTATTGCTTTAAGATTTGAAAAACACACAGAACTAATGCTACTAAAGCTTTCTTCTAAATTATTCAGTAGAATAAAAAAATATTATTTTTTAGTATGTTAAACGGTTTGTCTGCTGAATAATTCAGAAGAATAAATTAGTAGCATCAGTGCTACTTATTCTTCAAATCCAATATAAGTAAAGATGCTCTATGATAAATAAAAGACAATTAAAGTTAACATTTTTTCCAACCTGAAAATGCATTTCAAATAGATACTCACCTCTATGCACCACAAAGGGCTATTACCTTATATGCATTACCATGTAAATTCCTGCTCATGCCACGAGCCTTGAATTAAGCATCAACATATTTATACAATGAGTATTCTCTTTTTTTTTTTTACTTCTTACACTGTACTTACGGATTTCATTGGTGATACTTCAATTATAATATGTAGATAATTGATTGTGAATAAAATTTAACATGGACATTCACATTAACTATCAAATCATATATGTATTTACGAACCAGAGTATACTTTTGAGTAAACGGTGCAACAAGAATGTCAGGATCGTCCATGTTTACCATAAAATACAAACCTGTATTGTCATTCAGACTTGTAGAGCTGTCTCCAGAAGCTGCCAAAACTGTATTCTGTCGCCTGCTGCCTTCAGATGGTACTTTCAAAGGCCGTGGCCTCTCCAGTTTTCTTACATTCCGCACAGCTTTAGTTGCCATTATTCTTCTGTGATATTAATAAAATGTAAAAGAACTTATTTTTTGGAGCAAACCTCTCATTCTTTTGTAACGAAACTTGAAAACAAGAATGAAAAGTGAAGAGCAGTAAAACACGAGTGAAACTGAAATATGGTTAAGCTGTTCTCTGAAAAATTCAAAATACTGAAGACAAATATAATGGTTTATAAACTGTAAAATTACTGATATGGCCTACAAGGGACTTATTAGCTCTTTAAAGACCTTTTTTGATAAAGTACTTATGCACCAGAATGATTGTGGGTCCACAACTTTCTTGGTTACAGGACCCCTAATAAGACCAAGTGCACATAAAAACATACCATAAATATAGCAATTAATCTTACTCATTACTGCTGGGGTTTCCTATTGTTGCGTCAGTGAGGTCATGTGACTAGTATCACACCACTCCTTCTCTCGAACCTTTAGGAATTGTTGGGAGATTACTAGATATAGGGTAGTCTGGTATATATAAGATGGTGAC